TTAGGAAGGCATAGCTATGAAAAGTATATACCTGTGACTCATTTTTGTGAGTATTTCAATGGGTACATACCCAAAGTTTTGCAAACCAGCATTTAGACTTAACTGGGCCATTAGTTCATTGCTGTAGAGCAGTCCAAATTGTTGGAATCTGCCCCTATCCCAACCCTGTTTGAATAACTATAGCTGAAGTTGCTTTAGGCAGGCTAGGAACAGAATAGGGGGAAAGCTAATACTGGTTAGCAGTAGTTAGTAATTAACAATACCTTTTGGGGGAAGTATGTTAGCCCTTCTGTTCTTCACCGCCCCCCCCCACCATGTTCAGAAAATTACCCTTGATCTTAGTCAAAGGGCCAAGAAGCAATCCTGTTCAGAAAATTACACACAAAATGATCACCTAGGCATTCCCCTTTTAAAGTAATTAATGTATTTTTACTCAGTGGCTTATTTAAAGCATATCATCAAGTGATCTTGAAATGCTTATCTTAAATTTCTCTTGAAAAGTCAGTAGAGGTTTTGGAGTCAGGGCAAACAATTAGCTGTGTGACTCTGGGCAGTTTCTTAACTTCTGTGTCTAACTAGTTTGTGCATCTATAATGAGGGAATACTAATAGCACCCAATTCATAGGATTACTGTGAGAATAGGATGAGTTAACGCATATAAAACATTTAGAACAGTGCCTGAAAAACGCACTATCTACTAATTAAAGTTACCTCTTGTTGTATGCACTTTGGGCAAAGGGTTTACAAAAGATACAACGTCAACTGTGTTTTTAGGCAACATTTTTTATGTGACATATGGGTAAATTTATATGAATTGGGAAACCAAAAATATTGGCTAATAGAGAAGTAAGTCATAGCTTTGGGTTTCCCTTTGTTCAGTGACTCCTGTACTGGGCATTTCCTTTGTGGGGGACCTTGTCATCTATGAAGCTGTTAACAAGAGATACTGGCTTTTGAGGTTTATGAGGCAAGGGCAGATCCTGTACCTGCTCATTGTGTATCTTGTCACCTTGCACTTAAGCTGTCTGTTGCATGTTTGATCCAGAGACTCCCACCAGACAAGAATAGTTGATGCTGCCTTGTTGGTAGTCTGTGACTCCAGTCTTTTTTTTTTTTTTTAAGTTTATTTATTTTGAATGTGAGAGAGCATGAGTGGGGGAGGGGCAGCGAGAGAGGGAGAGAGATTCCCAAGCAGGCTCCATACTGTCAGTGTGGAGCTCCATGTGGGACTTGAACTCACAAACTGTGAGATCATGACCTGAGCTGAAGTCACATGCTCAACCGACTGAGTCACCCAGGCACACCCCCCCCCCCTTTTTTTAATGTTCACTTATTTGGAGAGCGAGTGAGCGCTCATGTGTGAGTGGGAGAAGGGCAGAAGGAGAGAACCCTAAGCAGGCCCTGGGCTTATGCAGTACTTAACTTGGGACTTGATCTCACTACCATGACATCATGAACTGAGCCGAAATCAAGAGTCCATCGCTTAACACCCTGAGCCACCCAGGCGCCCCACCCCAATCTGTTTTTATAAGAGGCCATGCCAAATGTAGCTATGGGATTATGAGAGTCTTTGGGGGGGGTGGTGTCTTTATTTCTGGTTGAGCCTAGAAAGACCCCTGCCCCCATGGGTTTGTACTCCTTTGATCTTCATTTGTTATACAAAGTAAATTGTAAACACCACTGTCAGGGATGCCTGGCTGGCTCAGTCAGAAACGCATGTGACTCTTGATCTGGAGTTTGTGAATTGGAGCCCCATGTTGGGTATAGAGATTACTAAAAACAAAGCAAAACACAGCAAAACAACCACTTTGTATTTGAAAACATATGGCTTGAGGTGTTTTATAAACTTGTAACTGTAATAGAAGATCATTGCTGGAATATTTTACCTCTAACTTATTCTGAATTTATTGTCTTTTAATAACTTTTTTCTTTGTCTTCATGTTGGGTTTTCAGAATCTGCAAATCGTTTTTCATCAGTTTTGGGAAATTCTTATCATTTCTTTAAACATTGCCTTTGCCCATTCTTTCCCTTTTCTCCTTCTGGAACTCTGATTAAACATACATTTGTTCTCTTCATTCTGTTTTTATATGTTTCTTAACCCTCCCCTGCCTTTCAAGTAGCTTTATTGTGGTATAATGCACATACTCTAAAATTTGCCCTCTGTAAGTATACAAGTTTGATGGCTTTTAGTAAATTTAGTTTTATAACCACCACAATACAGTTTTAGCACACTTCTCTCCTCTCCCAAAGTTTCCTAGTATGTGTTTGCAGTTTATCACTCCTCTTACTCTTAGCCCCAGGCATTTACTAAACAGTTCCTATATTTTTGTCTTTTTCTAGAAATTTCATGCAAATGCAGTTACATAATCTTATGTGCCTTTTTTCACCTAGTGTAATGTTTTTGAGGTGTAGCAATGTTGCATGTTATCCTTAGCTTGTCCCTCTTAATAAGTAGTATACTATTATATGGATATTTTATTTTGTTGCCTGTTACGAATATTGCTTCTGTGAACATTCAGATACAAGTCTGTGTGTGGACATGTTTTTCTTTTTCTTGGAAAGATACCTCAGAGTGGAATTGCTGGGTGATAGTAAGTTTATGTTTAAAATGACCAAACTTTCCCATATTATCTGTATCTGAATTATATTAATAAGTGAACAAGCAATAAGCGTATAGCAATAAGTACAATCACTAACCTGCCTTTTCTTTTTTTACAAACCATTTCCAATTTGTCTAAGAGATGCAAACTTTATATATATTTTTAATGTTTGTTTTTGAGAGGGGCAGGGGAGGTGCAGAGAGAGTAAGGGAGACACAGAGTCCAAAGCAGGCTCCAGACTCTGAGCTGTCAGCAGAGCCCGACGTGGGGCTCGAACTCACAAGCCGTGATCATGACCTGAGCCTGTCAGATGCTTAACCAGCTGAGCCACCCAGGCGCCCCTAAGAGATGCAGACTTTAAATAAGCAAATCACAATGTAATTTCAGCACTACTCCTGAATCCTGTGTTTCTTAATAATAGCATAATGAAAATTTCATGAGTTTTAAGCAGCAGGTTAAGTTGGTTTTGGTAGAAGTTCAGCCTCACATCATCATATGTTAGAGTAGCACTACCAAATATTTTTTTTAAGTTACAAGCAGAAATTCCATGAAATGTCTTGTCTTTTCAGTTACATGTGCTCTGCCTTAGTTTCAGTGTATGGTTGTGGAGTGGGAGAAAGGTCTAGATTAGGAATAATATACTAGTAGTTTAAACTGACATGGTCAAATCTTTTGGTTCTCAGGACAGTGCTTTAAATGTGATCCTGGGGATGATGGCCCTATTACTCTGTAGTTCCATAAGACGGTGAGGGATGGTGTTGGAAATTGCATTTTTAAATAGTGTAAGCCTCACTGAGAAAGTGACATTTGCTCAAATACTTGAAGGAGGTGATAGAATCAAAGTAATGAAGCAGGATGCAGAGATGCAAAGCAGTAGGACCTTAAAGGCTATTGTAAGGACTTTGGCTTTTATAACACTCTTGAGTAAGACGTGAAGGCATTGGAGAGTCTTGAGAGAGAAGTGACATAATGACACATTTTTAAAAGATTATCTCTCTTGAGGAATAGACTGTAAAGTAGCAAGGGTGAAAGAGTGATTTCTGGTAAGCCAGGCAAAAGGTGGTAATGGCTTGGATCAGAATAGTAGCAGTGAAGATGTGAGAAGTGGCTGGATTCTGGATGTGTTTTGAAGGCAACCTGACAGATTTTGCTCATGGGGTTTTATAGGGGAAGTAGATAAAGAGGAAATCAAGAATGTCATTGAGATTTTTGCCTTAAAAAATAGAACTGGAAGAATAGAGTTGCCATTTACTGAGATGGGGAAGACTAAGAAATAAGTGTTTCAATGAAAGGTGAGTTCAGTTTAGGCCATCTTGTTTGTTTGTTTGTATGTTTGTTTGTTTGTTTGTTTTGAGAGAGCATGCACACAGGGGAGGGCCAGAGACAGAGGTAGAGAGAGAATGCCCAGCAAGTTCCATGCTATCAGCACAGAGCCCGACACGGGGCTTGATCTCATGAACCATGAGATCATGACCTGAGCTGAAACCAAGAGACGGACACTTACCCAACTCAGCCACCCAGATACCGCATCTTAAGTTTGAGATGCCTCTTGGACATCAGAGTAAAGCTGTTGAGTAGGCAGTTGAATATATGAGCATGGAGTTTAGGGAAGGAGCTAGTGTAGAAATATAAATTTGGGAGTCATCTAGTTATTGATAATAAACTGGATGTGAGTGAATATAATTGGGAAAAAGAACTCCAAAGATTGGGGAGATAAAGGGAGGAATCAGCAAAGGAGGTAGAAGGAGTGAGCAGTGAAGAGAAGAAAACCAAACTAACTCATGAAGATGTTTTAAGTAGGTGAGAATGATCAGCTTTGTTAAATGCTGCTGATATATCAGTGAAGATGAGTCCTGAAAATTGATTTTTGGATTTAGAGAAAGAATGGTTGGCTTGAAAGTCTGACTGGAGTGGGGTTTAGAAAGCATGGGAGGAAAAGAAAAGAGGGAAAAACTTTTACCTGTGATCTGTACTGTAGGTGGAGGCAGAAATATGGAGTGTTAACTTGAGGAGAAGGTGGGGTCAAACAAAAGTTTGTTGTGTTTGTTTTTTAAAATGAGAGTTGGTAGCATGTTGCATGTTGATGGGAATGAGTTAATAAAGGACAAAAAAAAAATTAACTGGTAAAGAATGACCTTTACTTCGTGAGGTGTGTGGGACCTAGGATGCAAGAGGAGTGGTTGGACTTAAATAGAAGTAAACATAGTCACAGGAAGGAAAGCAGAATATATGGGCTCATTAGTGGCTAGATGTGATGGAAGTTGTACATGTTCTTGTTGCTTAAATTTGCTCAGTTAAATGGGAAGTGAGGTCATCTTTTGAGATTAAGAATGGGAAAGGAGGGTTAGAGGTTTGAGGAAAGAAGGAAATACTGTGAAATCATACAGGAGAATGAGAAAATGGACCAGAGAAATATTGTGCGATTATTGGGCATCATTAAGGAGCATTTGAGGTTTGTGGTCAGAGTTTTTTTTTTTTTTTTTTTTTTTTAACGTTTATTTATTATTGAGAGACAGACACAGAGCATGAGCAGGGGAGGGGTAGAGAGAGGGGAAGACACAGAATCTGAAGTAGGCTCCAGGCTCAGCTGTCAGCACAGAGCCCGATGCGGGGCTCGAACTCATGAACTGTGAGATCATGACCTGAGCCGAAGTCAGTTGCCTAACCAACTGAGACACCCAGGTGCCCCTGTGGTCAGGGTTTTAAAGTGAAACTAGAGGTCATTGTTTTGTTTTTGTCTAGTTATATTATGGAATAGTTATGGAGTAGTTAGGGAATGGTGGAGGGATTATGCTAAGTGAGTTTTAGAATGTAAGATATTTTGCTGATTCAGTGCTCTTCTAGCGGTCATCCTGTGTTTTTTTATAACCAGGAGATTATGGTATAATTTGCTCCTACCTAAGTGAGTATATTTAAATAAAGACCCATTGACCTAGGAGATGGACATTTTGGATGGAGAGACAGAATTTTGGTACCAGAATTAGCATTGGGGGACAGACTAAATTTTATCATTAGGGTACCTGAAGGATTTGAAAGGAACCTGCAAAACTTCACCCATCATAATTTTGTCTTATGTTTCTTCTCCTAGAGGTTTCCTTTTAGAACATGGGCTCTTCCTTTTTGGATTGTCCTGTTAATACTGATATATTACATGGAGGATGGAACCAATGGTCTTTAATCTATTATAATGTATAGAGTTTTGTCTGTCCCAGTACATAATGCCTCATCCTTTTGTAATCAGTCACCAGTAGCAGGATAAGGATCCAGAGTCTAAGAGTCTAAGGATCCAGGGAGAAGCTTAAGTAGTGATATAAAAAATTAATTGAAAAAAATCGTTTAGGGGTGTGTGGGTGGCTTAATTGGTCAAGCATCTGACTCTTGATTTAGGCTCAGGTCATGATCTCATGGTTTGTGGGATTGAGCCTCGCATCGGGCTCCATGCTGTATGTGGAGCCTGCTTAAGATACTCTCTTTCTTTTCCCCTGCCCCTCTCCCCCACTCATACTCCCTCTTTCTCCAAAATAAAATATCTTTTAAATTTTAAAAATTATTTCAAATTTTACAGTAATTGATGGAATTTTTTAATCTTCCACTGTGATCCTAAATTTGTCTTATTTTCCCTGTTAAATTTTCACTTTATATATTTTGAGACTATTGACTTGGTTATTCAGATTTAAGATTGTTACAGCAATCTGGTGAATCAGACATCTGTAATCATGTAATAACTTGCCCTATCTCTATTGAAGTTTAGTCTCTATTTTTCCTGATATTTTTCTTTTAGGATTTGTTTGATATCTTTTTCTGACGGTCACTTTTAATTGGCTTTTAAATGATCCATTTCCCAGGATCATACTACCCCCTCTTGAGGTTTTTGGCCCATAGTGGGAATCTCAAACTTGATTTTCCTCCTCACATTATATGAAGCAATAGTATCTTCACAGCATGTTGATTTAGTAATCCAAATAACAATGGACTTGAATGGACTCATTCTGATATTTTAGGTATGCTATCTTCAGTAAGTCTTTACTATATACTTAACGGTAAATATTTAGTGGATTGGGAAAAAAATTAAATAGTATGGAATTATTTGTTTTTATGTATTTATCATTACATTATTTTCCTGTAGTATTGGTGGGTTAATTTATAAACCATCTTTTAAAACTTTTTGTTTCAGTCCCAGAAATCCTGGATAGAAAGCACTTTGACGAAGAGGGAATGTGTATATATTATACCAAGTTCCAAAGACCCTCACAGGTAAGCATACCTTTGTTTCTTGGGTTCTTCTAGAAATTTAGATGTAAATTATATTGGAGTTTATTTATTAAAAACCAAATTATTATTATTTTTAATGCTTATTTATTTTTGAGAGAGAGACAGCATGAGCAGGGGTGGGGCAGAGAGAGAGGGGGAGACACAGAATCAGAAGTAGGCTCCAGGCTCCAGGCTCTGAGCTGTCAGCACAGATAAAAGCCAAAATTAGTAAAATAGTTATAATTATTGTTAACTTTTGTGCATGCTGTTAATTATTTAAGATTGAGAGAAGGAGATATCCTTAGCACAATATCAGTATTCTGGAGTTCTTATTTTTTGTATTTTTGAGAGATAGAGAGGGGGCTAGTGAGCAAGGGGCAGAGGATCCCATGAGGGGCAGAGAGAGACACAGAGAACTGGGGCTCAGCCAAAGCGGGGCTCATGTTTTACCCAAAGCAGGGCTTGTGCTCACCCAGTGCAGGGCTCAAGCTCACCTGATGTGTGCAACTCTAACTCACAAACGATGAGATCCTGACCTGAGCTGAAGTCACATGTTTCACAACTGAGCCACAGGCACCCTGGAGTTCTTAATGATGTTTACTTCTTCAGAGTATTCCCCCATCCCTATACTCCCCCAGATCATACTAGTATGTTACAAAGATAGGGCAGTTAAGACTCATTTTTAACTGATTCACTGATAATGAGAACTTAAAAATGTGTAGGTATTTATTAAACATCTTTTGAGTACCCAACACTATGGTTCATGCTAAAGAAACCAATGCAAACCTAATAGTTGCTGTATTTGTTTGCCAAAATGTAGATAGAACTCAGCATCTCCTAGAAAACCTGTTGTCAGAGGTTATAGGCATCTCTAATTGACTTTTTGGTCTTTAAAATGGTTTTGGTAATAGAAAAATTTTAAAGTAAAGGTGCTAGTTAAAATTCAAGAAAAAGTTGACCTATTGAGGTATTTACTGAAGTAACATTTTTCATAATTTTTTTTTTGAGGCATAAAAATAGAAAAAAGTTTGAAAGGGCAAATCAAAGATAGAGTTATTTCCTGTCATGCAGAGAGGTTCCTAGCATACAGAGAACCTCTCTTTACAGGCACTTAGGAAAAATTAGTTGAGAAAGAATTTTGAATCTTCTTACCTTTCTCATCTCCTGCCAAATCTTCTTCTCTGCTCAGTTAACTTCTCTGCAACTTTTACTTCCATTTGATATATGACTCTTATCAAAACATAGCCAAATTCAGAACTATAATAAATCAACCTAAAATTTATATGAAACCACAGAAGACCCTATATAGCCAAAGCAATCTTGAGAAAGAAGAACAAAGCTGAAGGTTAGCACAATCCCAGATTTCAAGATATACTACAAAACTATAGTAATCAAGACAGTATGGTACTGGCACAAAAATAGAGGTTAATGGAATAGGATAGACAGCCCGGAAATAACCCATGCTTATATGGTCAATTAATCTGTGAGAAAGATAGCAAAAATATACAGTGGGGAAAAAAGCCATTTCTTCATCAAATAGTGTTGAGAAAAATGGACAGCTACATGCAAAGAATAAAACTGGACTGCTTTCTTACACCATAAACAAAAATAAACTCAAAATGGATTAAAGACTTAAATGTGAGACCTGAAATCATTAAACTCCTAGAAGAAAATAAGCAAGTAATCTCTTGTATATATGCCTTAGCAACATTTTTATGGAAATGTCTCCTCAAGCAAGGGAAACAAAAGCAGTAATAAGCTATTAGGATTATACAAAAATGAAAGGCTTTTCCACATCAAAGGAAGCCATTAATAAAACAAAAGGCAACTTACTGAGTGGGAGAAGATATTTGCAAATGATATATCTGGTAAGAGGTTAGTGTCCTAAATGTATAAAGAACGTCTATAACTCAACAGCAAAAAAAAATGGTCTGATTAAAATTAGGCAGAAGACCCAAATAGACATTGTCCCAGAGAAGACATACAGATGGCCAACAGATACATGAAAAGATGCTCAACATCACTAATCATCAGGGAAATGAAAATCAAAGCCTCAATGGAAAGAAAAAAAAAAATCAGTGAGCTATCCTCATCTCCTACTAGTCAGAATGGCTAGTATCAGAATGACAAAAAATAAAAAGTGGTGGCAAAGATGTGGAGAAAAGGGAACCATTTTGCACTATTTGTGGGAATGTAATTTGATACAGTGACCATGAAAGTGTGGTGGTCCTCAAAAATTAAAAATAGGAATACCATTTGATCAGGAATTCCACTACTTAGTACCCAAAGAAAACAAAAACACTGATTAAAAAAGATATATGCACTCCTGTATTTCTTGCAGCCTTATTTACAGTAGCCCAGCTGTGGAAGCATCATAAGTGTTCATCAATAGATAAATAAAGAAGATACTGTGTGGGTGTGTGGTGTGTGTATACACATACAGTGGAATATTACTTAGTCATAAAGAAGAATGGAATCTTGCTATTTGTAACAACATGGATGGACCTTGAGGGTATTATGCTAAGAGAAATAAGTAAGACAGAGAAAGACAAATACCATATGATTTTACTCATATATGGACTCTGAAAACCAGAACAGATAAAAATAGACTCATAAATACAGAGAACAAATTGGTAGTTTCCAGAGTAGATGGGGTGGAGGGTGAGGGGTGTGGTGGGGAGATGCATGAAATAAATGAATAAAATGAATTAAGTCACAGAGATAAAAAAAAGTACAGCATAAGGAGTATAGTCAGTAATATTATAATAATGGGACAATTTACTGTGGTATGCATTTTCAGTATAGTTGGTCACTATGTTGTATACCTGAAACTTATATAACAGTGGTATGTCAACTATACATCAATAATAAAACTTTTTAGAAAAATAGGGAAATGGGTAATTTTTTATTAACTGGTGTATTTTAAATTATAGCATCTGTCACTGTTATTGTTCATAGTGGGTATTTAGTAAATATTTGTTGAATGGAATTTCTAAACCTTCTGTTTGTTACATTTCATAAACCTGCTGTTTGAATTCAACATTTCTCTTTGACAGTGAGAAAACTCTATTTTGAATATATGTCTCTCTTGAACAAATATCTGTTAGAAGAGCCATGTACATGATAAATTTTGAAAACTTTTGAGAATCAGAAAGTTGGTTCAGTACTCAGAGTTTCAGTATGTCAAGGCAGTCATTATTAATAACATTTTGGTGCATTTACTTTTAATATTTCTTCAGTAGGTTTTGTTTTAAAATACTGCTACATTTAGTCTGTAAAATACGGTATATGCTCTTTAACAAAATGTTATAGTAATATATTTTTTGATATTGCAGATATTTTATAAGAATGGTAATACTAATATTTTGTTAGTGTATATGCCATAATTCGCATACCTGTTCCACTGTTGGGCAGATTTGGGTGGTTTTCAATTCTTAGCCATTATAAAGTAAAATTAGGCCATAATGAAGACCTTAGAGGATAAAACTTTTTTTGTATTTAAGGTTTTTTTTTTTTAAATTTCTTTTCTTACCACAAATCAGTCAGAATAAACAGGTTTTGTCAATTTTATTTTCCTTTAATTTTTTTAAATCTTTATTTATTTTTGAGAGAGAGACAGAGTGTGAGCAGGGGAGGAGCAGAGAGAGAGGGAGACACAGAATCCAAAGCAGGCTCCAGGTCCCAAGCTGTCAGCACAGAGCCCGAAGTGGGGCTTGAACTCACAAACCGTGAGATCATGACCTGAGCCAAAGTCGGACGCTCAACTGACTGAGCCACCCAGGCACCCCTGTATTTAAGGTTTTTTCCCCCTCTTAGGGTATGTAATGCCAAAGACTTTCTAAAAGGATTAAAGCAATATATATTATTACCAGTAGTGACAAGAATGCTTACTTTATTAAATATTGATTAGAGTAACATTTTTCATTATCTTCAAGAAAGTGTTAAGTAGAAAATAGTGTATGTTTTAAATTTGCATTTATTTGATTTTTGAGAAAACATTTTTTATCTTTTTATATTCAATTTTTTGTAGGTTCTGTAAATGTCTTTTAGATGATTAAAACATTATTATTTTTTTCTTTTTTGAGAGAGAGAGAGTATATGCATATGTGCCGGGTAAGGGCAAAGAGAGAGGGGGAGAGAGAATCGCTGACACAGGGCTCTATTTTCATGACCATGAGATCACAACCTGTGCCGAAATCAAGAGTTGGATGCTTAACTGACTAAGCTACTCAGGCACCCCAAAACAGATCATCTTAATGTCTCTTTCAGTCATTATTTTTTGAATCAATTTGAATTTCTTTCTAATTATTATAGATGTTTTGTTACAATGTAATACTACATTTCTTAACCAGAGAGCAGAAGTGACATTTCCCAGGTCACATGACTAATAATTCATAAAGGTGGGATTAGAATTTAGATCTCCTTAGTTCAGTGTGTCATTTCAAAGTAAGACATTGTTCTTTCTTTGGGAGGAAATTATGTTTTTGATTTATTAAAAAAGTAGATTATATTATTAATATGGAGTTTATTTCCTATAAATTCATTAATTTCATTTTGCAGTAGAAACAATAAAAGTACTCATTAGGTGTTAAGTCTTATTTTGTTATTAAGTATCTTTGGCTTTAGCCATCCATATGAGGCATAATATTCAAACAGTGATAGCTGGTCATTTCCTTCTATACTAGTTGAAATTTTGTTTAAGGTTTATTTATTTATTTATTTATTTTTAATTTTTAATTTTTATTTTCGAGAGGGAGAGTGACAGAGCACGAACAGGGGAGGGCAGACAGAAAGGGAGACACAGAATCTGAAGTAGGCTTCAGGCTCCGAGCTTGTCCTTACAGAGCCTGATGCGGAGCTTGAACTCACAGACTGCGAGATCATGACCTGAGCCAAAGTCAGACGCTTAACCGACTGAGCCATCCAGGCACCCCTACACTAGTTGAGTTTTAAAATTAGTTTTTTTATGAATAGGTTTAATTAAAAAAAATTTTTTTTTAATGTTGATTTTTGAGAGAGAGAGAGAGAGAGTGCAAGTGGGGAAGAGGCAGACACAGAATCTGAAGCAGGCTCCAGATTCTGAGCTGTCAGCACAGAGCCTGAGATGGGCTCGAACCCATGAACAGTGAGATCATGACCTGAGCCAAAGTCAGATGCTTAACTTACTGAGCCACCCAGTTGTTCATATAAATAGGTTTAATACATGGGTTTATAAGATATCAAAATTTATAAGTGAAAGGCTCCTTTCTACCACTGTGCCTTAACTATAAGTTCCCTTTCCTAAAGAAAACCAATGTTACTAATTCTTGGAATACCTTTCAGAGATAGCCAGATACTGTCTTTGCATGGTCTTTGCATGTCCTAGCCGATGTGTATTTACTCCTTCCTCTCCCCTTTTAATTACATACCATTTAACCCACTGTGTTTATTATCTTGGCAGTAACCACTTTTCTTAATTGTTTCATCCTTTTAAATTATATATCTGGATTATAATTTGTTTTAGTAGTCCCTTGTTAACGAACATTTTAGCTATTCTGTTTTTCTTTTTGCTATTAGAAAAAAAATGCTGTAATGAATGAACAACCTTGTATATTGCTACAAATATTTTTTAGCCTATACTTTTAGTATTGGTATTAGAATTTGAGGAGTTTACATTTTTTTCATTTTGATGGGTATTACCAAATTGCCCTCCATAGAGATTGTATCAGTTTATACTCCCACCAACATGAGTCTACATATCTCTGTTCTTTCCAAGATACTGTCTTAAAGGTTAAAAAATCTTTTCTAATCAAATACCTTTTCATATGTGTTTTTACCATGAAGTATCCATATATTTTCCTTTTTTATGTAGATTTGGTGAAACTCTTTATATAGTAGGGAAACTAACCTTTTGCCTGCAATTATTTTTTCCTCAGTTTCTTTTTAGACTTTATGAGTGACATATTTTTGCCACATAACAAAGTGTATTTTTATGTAGTTAAATCTATCAGTCTTTTTCTCTTGTAGTTTCTGGTTTTTGTCACAACTAATTGTATTTAAAATAATGGAAGCTATTTTAAATATTAGGAGGGTGAGGCGTTGGGTAAAATAGGTGAAGGGAAGTAAGAGGTACAAACTTAAGTTGTAAAATAAATAATGAGAGGAAAGTACAGCATAAGGAATATAGTTAATAATACTATAATAACATTGTATGGTGGCAGATAGTGACTGTACTTATCTTGGTGAGCACTGACTAATGTATAGAATTGTTGAATCACTATGTTGTATATCTGAAACTAACATTGTATGTCAGCTACAATTTAAAAAATGTGGAGGGACGCGTGGGTGGCTCAGTCAGTTGAGCATCTGAGTCTTGATTTCAGTTCGGGTCCTGATCCCAGGGTTGTGGGATTGAGTCCTGCATCGGGCTCCACGCTGAGGGTGGAGCCTGCTTAAGATTCTCTCTCTCCCCCTCTCTGACTCTCTCCCCCACTGGTGCTTTCTCTCTTTCTAAAATTAAAAAAAAAAAGTGGAAACTATGTGAGTTAAAAAAATAGTTATTTGAATATATATATCAAGGTATAAATGACCTATGATATGTACTGAAAAATTAAACTAAGTATGTAATTTTGCTTTGTTTTGTACTATTACATAGATTTTATATAGTTTAAACTATTTTTTTTTAACTTTTAAGAAATAAATAATTTACCTTGTTTTATAGATGCCTTCCAGGATGTCAAATTTGTCAGCAACTTGTCAGGTAAGTTTAATAACATAACTCTGTTGAACAAATTGTGAAAAATAAAACAAATCTATTAAAAGCATCAGTTAGAATAAAAAGGTATAAAACTCACAGGTTACTATGTTTGAGGGTTACTTTACTCAGAGTTGGGAGAGAAAGGATAGGGTGTGAAACTCCAATGAAACTACGTGAGCAGAGTTCTAAAGCTGGATGTGAATTAGTTGGGTAAAGATTGAGCAAAAGTGATTTAGGCAGAGAGAATAGGATGTGGAAAAGCCTGACAGTGAAAGAGATTATGGTTCTGTCAGGAAACTGCAGAATGTAATATGGATATTGGAAAGATGTGAGCTGGAGAAATAAGTAGGGACCAGATCATTTAAACTATATACTGTGACACATAGTTTTGATTTTGTTTTCTTCTTTTTTTTCTTCTTTGGTAAAAGCAGTTGGCATTTTGAGGAGATTATTGGGAGAAAAAAGTAGTTTGGAAAGTTTTGGAGTAATTTTGGAATAAATCAGAGCTTGAATTAATATAGTGGCTATGATGATGAAGAGAGGTAGACATATTTGAAGGGATGAATGAGATAAGTTCAATAGGATTTGATGAATGTGTAGAGAAAGGAAGATTTGAAGATAGTACCTAAATTTCTAACTTATCTAAGTAAATAGTAATCTTGTTCATTAAGATCTGATGAAGGGTTAGAAGAGTAATAATAGAAGGTCTCTGGTAGGTAGGCTAGGAAGAAAAGTACACAGTGAGTTCATTTTAGATATATTGAGTTGTTTTACCATTTCCAGTCTTATACATTCCTTCCTTTATATGTGAGGTTCCATCTGGTATCTTTCCACTCAGACTGAGGAGCTTCCTTTAGTGTTTGATATAATGCAGGTAGTGGAGGTGAATTTTCTCAAACTGGTTTATCTGAAAATGTATTTTCATATTTTTCAGGTTTTTTTTTTTAACTCATTTTTGAAGGATATTTTCTCTAGATGTAGAATGCTGAGTTGACCGTTTTCCCATTCCAGCACTTTAAAGATAACGTTATTTTGTCTTCTGGCTTTTGTTTTTGGTGAGACGTCAGTTGTCACTAGTGTAGTTATTCTGTATGTAATGCCATCTTTTTTCCTTCTGCTAGTTTAAAGATTTTTTTTCTGTATCTTTAGTTTCCAGCAGCAGGTATACAATGTGCCTAAGAGTGGTTCTCTTTGTATATACTCTGCAGTAATATTTGCAAGTTCATATCTATCACTGGATTGGGAAGTTTTTAGTCATTGTTTCTATCACTGGATTGGGAAGTTTTTAGTCATTGTTTCAAAATATTTTTCTGCCCCATTCTCTCTTTCTCCCCTCTGAGACTCCAGTTATACCTTTGTTAGATTGTATGATATTTTCCATGGGTTACTGAGGCCCTGCTTTTTTTTTTTTTTGTAATTAAAATTTTATTTTAATTAAATAATTAAAATTCATAATTAAAATTATGCTGATTAAAGTAGAACATTTGTATTGATATGTCTTAAGATTCACTAATCTTTTTTTTCTTTGATTACTATAGCTTTGTATATTTTCTTTCACTAATTATTTCTGCAGTCACCAATAATGCTGTTTGGCCCATCCAGTGAACTTTTTGTGCATTATATTTTTCAGTTCTAAAATTTTTGATTCTTTATTACAGTTTCTAAGTCACTACTGAGATGCCCTGTCTGTATCCTTGTTATCACATCATCTTCTATTTATAGAAGTCTTTGAACATATTTATAACATCTGCATTAAAATTTTTTTTTTTTTAATTTTTTTTTTCAACGTTTATTTATTTTTGGGACAGAGAGAGACAGAGCATGCACGGGGGAGGAGCAGAGAGAGAGGGAGACACAGAATCGGAAACAGGCTCCAGGCTCTGAGCCATCAGCCCAGAGCCCGATGCGGGGCTTGAACTCACGGACCGCGAGATCGTGACCAGGCTGAAGTCGGACTTAACCGACTGCGGCACCCAGGCGCCCCCAAATTTTTTTTTTTTTTTACTAATTCCAACATCAGGTGTCATTTAGGGTCTGTTTCTGTTGAATTATTGAATTTACTTTTTTCTTGATTACAAGTCACTTTTTTTGCTTTTTAATATATATAGTAATTTTTTATTATATGCTCTGTGTTTGCATGATCCACCTCAGGAGTTCTGGGCTATGTTGTCTTCCTTTGAAGAATTTGAATTTTGTTCTGACAGGTGATTAAATTATTGGCAGATTATTTTGTCCTATCAGGCTTGATTTTATTCTTTGTTAGGGCAATTCTATTTTTATTTTGAACTTAGTCTTAGAATGTGGTATAACCTTTTTAGGATCTCAGCAGGATGCCCAGTATGCCCAGTATGGCTTTTCACTCTGAGCTAAAACTGCAGTGTTTCCCAGCTCTTTATGATTCCATTCTCAGACCCACAGCAGGTGATTTCTGCTAGGTGTCAAAGTCTTGACTAACACAGATCCAGCTCAGTGTATGGCCAAGAACCCATGGTGACTCCTCATGCAAGTTTCTTTTCTCCCTCTTTATAGTTCTCTCTTCTCTTGTACCCTGCTACAAATTCTAGCTGTTTCAGCAGTCTGGAATTCTGTTTGTTGCTTCCTTCCTCAGCTCTTGACACTGCCATTTTTTACCTGGGCATTATCTCAGTGCATAATGGTTGAGAAACTGCCCCAGTGTGGTGCATTTATGGGACTCACCTCATATATTTTTCTTCATGTCAGGGATTGAAGTCTCAGTACCTCTTGTTCAGTAGTTAAAAACAGTTATCTCATATATTTTGTCTACTTTTGTTAAGTGTCCCCAGGATGACCTTGAGGTTTGGTGATTAGCTAGAAGGACTCACAGGACTCAGGATGTAGTGAGTAGTACTCATGGCCAATGCTTAGTAAGTATGAGGATATCTGTGTTGAAGAAGTTGTCTCTTTTCTTAGTTTGCTGAAAATGTTTCTAGTGAATAGATGTTGAATTTTGTTGGTCTTTTTGTTTCATTGGTTTTTCTTTTCATATTTCATTATGTTCTCTTTATTTTTTCTTCCTATCTGCTTACTTTGGGTTTAATTTGCCCTTTTTAGTTTTTTAAGGTGGAAGTTTAGATTAGTATTGCTTGCAGATCTTGTTTTCTAATTTATATATTACAAATTTTTATCCTATATATTTTATAGTGCAAAGTATGCATATAAATACACTAGCTTTTATACTAAACACTGTACAGTTAGATCCCGCATATTTTGATATTATTTCTATTTTCATTTTTTCAAATATTTTCTAGTTTCTTTGTGACTTTCTTTGATCCATGAGTTAATAAAAAGTGTGTCATTTAATTTCCAAAAACTTGAGGATTTTCCCAGTATGTTTCTTTTATTGGTTTCTAGTTTAATTTCACTGTAGTCTGAGAACATACTTTATATGATTTCCATCCTTATTTTAATTTATTGAGACTTATTTTGTGGCCCAGAATATGGTTAATCTTGGTGAATACTTCCTGTGCGCTCAAGTAGAGTTTTTATTCTTTTGCTGGTGGAGTGTTCTGTAAATGTCTATTCAGTCACTTTGGTTGGCTGATAGTTTTGTTCCAGTCTTACAGGATTCTGATTTGATAAGGAGTTTTGTTTTTTTTTCCTTTTATTACTTTAAAGATGCTTTGCAAACAAGTTGGGGTACCTGGCTGGCTCACTTGGAACAGCATGCGATTCTTAATCTTGGGGTTGTGAATTTGAACCCCACGTTGGGTTTAGAGATTACATAAATAAAACTTAAAAAAAAAAGTAAGATGCTATACCACAGTGACTGTGGATTGCATGATTTTTTTATAGGATGTCTGCTGTCATAATTAGCTTTGTTCTTTGGCATATATTGTGACACTTGTACTCTGCTACTTTTCTTTCTTTTTTTTTTTTTTTTTGCTACTTTTCTACTTCTAAGATTTTCTCTATCACTGGCTTTCAGCAGTGCTCTAGTGTGATTTCTTTAAGCTTGTTTTCCTTAGTTGTTATTGAACTGCTCAAATTTGTCTTTCAAATAGTTTTCAGATTTTTGCCCAGTGTTTTCAAATTTTTATTTCCACTCCCTCATTTCTGGGCCTTGGATTATGTGTGTGTGTTGAGATACTTAATATTGTTCCACAGATTGCTAATGTTCTATTCCTTTTGTTCCCCTCCAGTCTTTTCTGTCATTGTTCCAGTTTGGATAGAGTCTTTTGCTATTTTTTCAAGTTTACGGGTTTTCTTTCTTTGTGGTGTCTTATATGTTATAAATCTTACCCAATGGCATTTTCATTTCAGATATTATTTTTATTTTATTATTTATTAATTAGTTTATTTAATTTTTAAATTTACATCTAAGTTATCATATAGTGCAACAGTGATTTCAGGAATAGATTCCTTAATGCCCTTTACCCATTTAGCGCTCCTGCCCTCCCATAACCCCTCCAGCAACATTCTGTTTGTTCTCTATGTTTAAGAGTCTCTTATGTTTTGTCCTCCTCCCTGTTTTTAATATTATTTTTGCTTCCCTTCCCTTATGTTCATCTGTTTTGTATCTTAAATTCCTCATATGTGTGAAGTCATATGATATTTGTCTTTCTCTGACTAATTTCGCTTAGCATAATACCCTCCAGTTCCATCCATGTAGTTGCAAGATTTCATTCTTTTTGATTGCTCCATTGTATATATATATACCATATCTTTATCCATTCATCTGTTGATGGGCATTTGGGCTCTTTCCATACTTTGGCCATTGTTGATAGTACTGCTATAAACTTTGGGGTGCATGTTTTCC